TCCATATACTTACGGCTTTACTTTTTCCACACCAGAGCTAACTAAAGTAGAACAAACTGGGTTGTGGTGTAGGTATTCTTGCTGGATGCTACATGCAGGAGAGTAAGGAGCAGGAGAGGGGTCATGGTAAGACCGACTGACCCAGAGTGCTTTACTGTAAGAGAAAACATACTGCAGTGATACTTTAAATAGCATCAGTCCTTCTGCACATAGCCCTGAATGCTCTAGGTCAGCATGAACCTAATCTCATGAGACCTCAGCAGCAAATTGTCATCTGCAGAAACTGTCCTTGAAGACTACATGTTAAGGGAAGCATAGTCTTTTAATAGACGAATGTAGTGTTTAGTCATCAGACCCTCTAGAAAACTGGGTCAGATAGGTGTTGCATCATAGCAGACAGAATATTTGGTATTAATCAAGAAGGCACATAGTGAAGTATATATCACAGATATTTGATTACATTAGTGGAATTACCTTTAATCGTCGGATAGAGTCATATGATGGAACATGATCGAGTCACCATGGCTTAGCGGGGTACCGCCCATCTGCTGAAATGGTGGTAAGGATGACTCACGGTGTTAGCACGACCATGCAGAGGGAGGGGAGCCAACATGGTCAGTTACAGCAGCTTGGCTAACACGTGGTATTTTACTAAGCCACCGTAACGCTAGCCATCCAGGCCGCATACACCCAAAGAGATAGTGTACAAATGCTGACTGAGACCCCATCGTGTCCAACAGCAGGCTCCTGCTGGAATACGATGAAAATTCTTAAAGTTGGGAAAAACCCCACAGATGGCCAGATTTTCAGTGAGGTTGAGCACTTGCCAGTTCTCTATCTTATCTGTCCTTTATTTGTGGGCTGTTTGCCCAACAACACTATTTATTTAGCAACACAGGTGCCAAGGAATTAAAATCCCTCAGTCAGCAATATTGACTGACAGGCTGCAGGCAGCACCTCCTCAGCATTTACAAAGAGAGGAGCAGAGTCGACGTGTCCAACATTAAAAATAACAATTATAAACTCTAACTGACTTTCTTTGCTGCAGGATAGAAAGCAACAACAAAAGAGATTGTGTTGTCCTTGGAAGGAGAAGAAATGTCTTAGACGAATTGAGTATCTCAGCCTATACGGTTCTGTGCCATACACGTTCCCTGAGCTCTGTGCGAGTGCACATGAGCGCGTGCTAATCCATGACCTGTATTCAATGTGGAAGCAATAGAAGTATCCGTGAGTACTGGCCAATGTCAGCTTCCCCGAAGGGGAGCGGAATCTGGTGTGCATTATGTAGCACTTTTATTGGTGGCAGCAGTGGTGCAGGCTTTTCGACAAAGAGGGTCAACCTTGAAGCACAAGGTTTCTCTGACTGCTCTGCACCTCTTTGCAAAAACACACTTGGGAACAGACTAGCAAGAGTGTAGCAAGAAAAAATACCTGAAGTACTGAGGATTTTTTTTCCTCTAGCTAAGTGTAAAGCATATGCAGACCCCCAAAGCGAAGCAGCATTAAAGGTGAAACTGGGGACAGCAAGGAAGCTTCTTTGCCATTTTAATAAATACCAATAATTCCCTTTTGCCCAAGTCCCATATTCCCAAACTCATTAAAGCAATTTTGGAAATTTTTTTGGCTCTGGAACATATAAGCAAAACTCAAACCGTGCAGTCCCTTGAGAATCACTTGCACAAACTGCATAGGTCAGGCCAAAATAAGTTTCTGTCAAACAGCCTAACACCTAAGCTTATTATGAAACTGGTGAATTGTACAAAGGGTCTGTATGTGGGACAGTCTCAGAATGAATAAAGGGGGGGCGGCTGTTGTCATGGTACTTGTTGTACTTTGGTTCCACTGAAAACTCAAGTGATACTTTTATTGAATGCATTGCTCCTGTTAGCCAGCACAATTCCTGTAGGCTGTGTCTAAGCTGGTGGACCCAGAGGGCTCCAGAGCTCTGGCAGGCGGGTGGGTGCAAACCTCAGTCTCGTCCCGGGACAGGCGTGAGAGTGCACCACCGCTTTCTCCTTTCCTGCCCACTCCTCCCTGCCCGCTCTCCTGGGAGGAAACCTAGGGTGCATGCCCGGCAGGGGCTGCACTCTGTTCTATTCCTCAGCCCCCCCAGCGTGGGGGTCTCAGCCCTTCCGTCTGGCGGCTGTCGCACGGACTTTAAAGTACAAGGTGGAGAAGACCTGTTTGAGCTTGTTGTCTGCTGCTCTGCAGGACTGCAGTTGCAGTGAGGATGGGGCGGTGGGAAGTGGAGTCTGCTTGTGGGGGTCACCACAGCCTCTGAAAACCAAACCAAGATCGTTCCCCTCCTGACATTCAGCCTGGTATCTCCTCCCTTTTTTCTTTTCAAAGGATCATTGAATCTGCTTCTCGTGCTGTTTTGACCCTGTCCTAATGATTTGGCAGTCCTCTTGTGTGAATGAGTGCTGGTACATGGAGCGGCTGTGTTTTAAGTAGAGAGTAGGATGGGTCAGGGGCTGTGTGCTTTAAGTATATTTTCTGAGCTCATTTTTCCTGCACTACGTCCATTCCACTTACACCACCGCCACAGCTCCCCAGGCTTAGCCTTGTGCTGAGCTGACTGTAGAGTCCCCTGTCCCAGAAGCTGATTCCTGCTCCCTCACAGCGCTTCTTCCACGCTCTCACAGGGGTTACACCACGTTATTTGGGAGACATTGTTTTGAGTTTCTTTGGGGGGGTATGAAGATGTAAAGTACATCATATTCCTCCATCAGCAGATAACCAGGGAGGCATAGGAAGAGCTTCTTGTCTGTATCCGAGATAAATTTGTTGTTTTGTTCCCCCC